TGGAGGTCTTTTAGTCCAGCCCCTGCTAAGGAAGGGAGCCCTACAGACAAATGGTTGTCCAATCTCTTCTTTAAAACTTCCAATGTTGGAGTATTTACAACTTCTGGAGGCAAGTTGTTCCACTGATTAATTGTTCTAACTGTCAGGAAATTTCTCCTCAGTTCTAAGTTGATTCTCTCCTTGATTAGCTTCCACCCATTGCTTCTTGTTCTACCCTCAGGTGCTTTGGAGAATAGTTTGACTCCCTCTTCTTTGTGGCAACCCCTGAGATATTGGAACACTGCTATCATGTCTTTCCTAGTTCCTTCTTTTCATTAAACTAGACATAGCCAGTTCCTGCAACCGTTCTTCATATGTTTTAGTCTCCAATCCCCTAATCATCTTTGTTGCTTTTCTCTGCACTCTTTCCAGAGTCTCCACATCTTTTCTACATCGTAGCGACCAAAACTAAAAGCAGTAAATGCATAAATGCTTTAAATAAATGCTTTAAATGTTCTAAAAGACCATAGCAAGCAGGTTGTATTCCTGTGAAGAAGAAGATCAATTCATAACCAGAGCTCTTTTTCAGATCCTGGCCTTGAAATACATGTTATTAGTAACAAATTTTTATCTTGCAGGAAAGTGAGGCACAATGTTTATTGCTCCTTCCCATTTTCCATGAAGTTCAATTAAGATAATTCTCTATATTAAACTATTTGATTTTCATTCTAATATTTGATCATACTTAATAAAATACTGTACAGTAGTACCTCTGGCACAAACGCTTCTCACCCTGACTAAATCGGGTTCTGACCAAAATGCACAAATATTTTGAATCTGGTCATGAACACATATTTGATCAAACATGCCTGCTGCTGATTTTCCCCTTCTGTGCCACTTTTTTTATAAGTGCCAAATTTCGGATCACGACCCAAATCGGGTCCAACCAAATTTATGGAATGAATTATGGTTGTGACCAGAGATTCTACTGTTTGTAGTAAATATTACAGGAAACCTAATTCCAATTTACAAATAAGAAATTGGTGGGAGGGGATTAGAACATTTGTGGTATATTGTATGTATGTAGAATCCTGTCTTATGTTTTGTGTGAGTGTTATAAATGCTTGGGTGTTATGAATTCAATAGGCAGAGAACTAATAACATTTTGTGCAAAAGAATCTAACAAGAAAACCTTACATTTTATTACAGAATGTTCAGCCTTTGCAAAATGAGCCACATTAAAGCATTCCTTTTTGTGCTTTGGAACTTGACAATACTTTGCAAATTCTGCTTAACTGGTAAATTGAATCTTTTATATTTTTCTTACCCTTGAGTTGCAATGCTAAATAAATTTGGAAAAATGATTACATTTGGTGATATTTAATTTTTAGAACTGTTAGGATCAGGTAATATTTACAACCAATATATACAACCAATTTCATTGTATACATGATGTACAATGACAATAAAGACTATTATTACTAATATAAAAGTTGGTGTATATCTTTCTAATAGTGATTGAGGCTAACAACCCAGGTAGTCCTCAACATACGACCACAGTTGTGACTGGAATTCCAGTCATAAATAATTGTGGTCATAAGTCAAGGCACCACATGGGCAGACCCAACTTTTTCTACTGTTTATATGGCAGTTTTATGGTGGTCATAAATGCAAGATCACTCTCCCAAATAGTTTTGCCATTAACCAACTGGTTGTAAATCAAAGACTACCTGTATAGATAGTCCTTGCATAGGCCTTGTGTACCAAATATGCAAAGCTACAATAGTGCTGGAAAAAAATAATTTCAGAACCAAGGCCTTAGCAGTGTGACTCTTAGTCACAGGTTCACCACTACAGTCACTCAGTGTATGTTGTCCTGTGCCTGCTGTGGTTTTTTTTTCCTCCCATGCTCACTTGCAGAGTGGAGAGATTGCTTAAACACTGATGGTTTCCTGAGTTGTTCTCAGGAACCCAGCACTTCCCCAAAAGTTTGCAACTGCAGATTAACAAGATCAACTCTGTAACCTTAGTTAGCCCCAGCTGTTAGAATTAAACAAAAGGTGATTAGATAAATGAATGAATATACGGTAATGTAAACATGTGTATTAATAGTAGAATTATATGGACTAGAGGAATGGAAAAAAACATGAATAGATGTATGAATAAGAATTAAGCTTTAATTGAAATGATGATATTAGAAAAAAAATGAAATAGATATATTTAAAATGCTTTAAATGATTGTTATTGGTACCAGAAGTGTATATTGTGATATTGAATCATGAAAGAAAAAAAGAAAGGATGGAATTTTAATATAAACAGATGCAAAGAGCTAAATAATGGAAATATGAATAACAAAACAGATGGAAGATGGGAAACAGAAAAGAAATATCATTACCACGCCTTTGAAAATAATAGTAAGAGGAGGGGGGGAAGTTAAAATAGAGAGAAATAAAAGGGGAAATATATGTATATCAATATATTAGGATATATGAAAGAGTAAGAGGAAGGTTTAGAACTGAAGAGTGATAGTAAAAGATATGGGTAAATAATATGAAAGAATTAAAATGAAATGTAATAACTATGTGTAATAATAATGAATACCAATAATAAATATGTCTGTTTATATTGAAATGTATGATACTCAGGTATCACACCATTCATGCAGTTATATGTGTAAACAATATAAAATAAAAACTTGACATAAAAAAACCCTCTGTAACCTTAGTTATTTGTTTCACACCATGGGCTTTGTCTGCCTTATAAGTGACCTGGGAACATGCAGTAGGCAACAGCTGGCACGAGTGCATTCCTTTGGATGTGTATTTCTTGTTGTGTGCCTGCTTATTTTTTTTGCAAGCCCTTCCTCTCAAATGAATATAAATGCATGCATTAATTCCCCTCTAATTATCCCAGTACCCAAGTGAACATTTCAAAGAAGGGATGGGGGAAGGGAGAAAGGAAAGCCTAGTTGGGTGTCATGTGATTTTCCATTTAAGGACCTCGTCTACCAACTGAGTTGCAGGTCCCGATTAAGGTTGGTAAACAAGGACTGCCTTAAGCAGTGTTATTTAATTGAATCCCTGGTAAAGAATAAGAATATTTTTGATATTTGGAATCTATTTCTTGGAACTAATTGGGGCAGAAGGAGGAATTTTCCAAAGAAAATTCAAAGCTGATAGACTTGGAAACAATATTATTTTCTAATAAAAACAGTGGGATTATAGTAGGAGTTAAGTATAATGTAAAAGCTAGTCATATTTATTTAAAACAGCTCTCCCCTTAGAAATGAAAGGAGCTATTGTGAAGTAATGGTTAAAGACTAGAATTGAAGAGTTTCTCCTCAATCATAGAAAGTGACTGAATAGTTTTGGGTCCCTCCTTTTCTCTAGCTCAACATACCTCATAGGTTATTGTTTGAAGATAAAATGAAGAAAATTATTCAGGGAAATACTTGTGCTTTTAGTATTTAGACGACCATAAAGCAATTAAATAATGCCTGATGACAGCTTTTCTTTTGTTCCATTTAATTACAGCTTTGCCACAGAAACCTGAAAACATTTCTTGCATTTATAATTACAGTTCCATTCTTAATTGTAGCTGGACGTCTGGAAGAGAAATACCTGATAAAACAAAATGCAGTGTCAGGTAAATGGCAATTGGATGGTGATCATGGAGTGGAATCAATTAATGGCCATCATCTATACAGTGTAGAGATTATTCATATGATGATCATTCAACCAGGGGTGTCAAACTCGATTTCATTGAGGGCTTCATTAAGGTTGTGTTTGACCTGGGGGGGGGGCAGAATGGGCGTGGCCATGGAGCGCATGGCCAGCTCAACATAACTCCTATTGGGAGTGCCTGTGGCAGCCCAAGTGCTTTGCCAGTGAAAATAGGCTCTAAACTCTGTTTTTGGCTGCCACAGCCTCCTGCAACCCACTTCCAGTGAAAACAGAGTTTTCCGTTTTAACTGGCAGAGGGTTACAGGAGGCAGTGACAGCCAAAAATGGACTTTGGGAGCCCGTTTTCTCTGGCAGAAGCACTGTGGGCTGGTCCTTCGGTGTTTCCAGGCCAGCCCTGCGGGCCAGATCTATGAGCCCTGTGGGCCAGATCCGGCCCCCGGGCCTTCAGCTTGACACCCCTGCATTAAAAAATGTCATCTGATGAGACTCAGGAGATGCATCTTCTGTCAGAGACGCTGCTTTATGGAACACATCTTCCCAGAGATGTGAAGATCTGAAAAGCTGCTGTCCATTAACTTTGCCTTGGAGACCTGATTCTTTTCCCAGACTTTGGGCTGGACTGAATGTAGACTTCTTCTGGGTGGGCTTTATAGGTTATAGCAGATGTTTGGTCACCTGGGATGTCCATCTTTCTTTTTATTGGCTCTTATCCAGCCTACCACTGCAGCCAGACATTGCTTCAGGTTTTGCACAGCCTATTACTATATATCTATAATAGAGATTTACTTCAGTGATGAAATTCAATCCCCCCCACCATCGGTTCTGTGGGCATTGCTTGGTGGTGGTGGGTCATGTGACTGAGTGGGCATGGCCAACTTTACATCACTCACAGTAACCCAACAAGCCATGCCACAGAACTGACAGAAAGGTTCGGCTGGCCAAGTCTTCTAGCATTCAACCTGGCTACTTCTCGCCTCCTTCTCATGTGTGCTCTGTGTGTATGAGCCCAAAAAGAAGAGAGAAGCAGCCACATTGAATATTGCAGCAGAGAGAAGCCAAATCTTTCTCCCTCCATTCACAGCAGAGCTGCTCTGCCCCTTTATCCCCCCTCCCTTCCAGGATGTACCTTAAAAACTGTTTTGAGCAGCTCCTGTGCGATGCTGTCCCTCCGGCTGCTCCATTCTCCTGACCGGGTCTGGCCATGAGCAGCACTGGCAGGCATTGGGTATGCATGCGTGATCGGAACATGGTGGTGGCTGCGCACATGCACCCCATTGCTTGCCGGTGCTGCTCGTGTTTAGACCCAGCCAGGAGAATGGCAGCAGCCGGAGGGATGGTGTCACAGAAGGCAGCCGAAAGCAACCACTGGAGGCTTCTCAGCATGAAAGGCGGCTGAGCCTTGCCGTGTCCCACCCCAAGGCACAAAGGTAGGTGAGTGAGGTGAGTGGAAAGCGGGGGCAAGGCCGGAGCTGTGGAATGGTGCATTCCCCGACCTGGCTGAGGTGTGCAGTGAGTGAGTGTTTGCTCTGAGGCAAGGCTGGTGCCGGGGAATGGTGCATTCCCTGACCCAGTCAGCATAGGGAGTAGCTCCGGGATGAGTGGGCAGCAGCTCTGGGGAATGGTGCATCCCTGGACCCTGGCCCCTGACCCAAGGTGAAGGTAGAGCGGGTGGCAAGCATTCCTTAACTTTGGTGAGCTGAGTGGGTGAGGCAACTGGTGAGGTGATTAGCTGGGCCGTGTGGCAAAGGCAATATATATAGGGTAAGGGTGGATGGGTGGGGTGAGCAGCGGGAAGGGGCGAGTGAGTGGCCGGAAAGGGTAAATGGCGACTGGACAAGCGGGTGACTGGGCAGGCATGGGCGGGGCCAACCAGAGGTAGTTTTTACCAGTTTGGCAAACCAATTCAAATCTTCCTTACCAGCTTGCCTAAACCAATCTAATATCACCCCTGGTTTGCTTCTGTTAGAAAAATTTAAGATGACAAGAACCTTCCACTCTTTACATGGAACTATTGATGGAATCTTATTTACCTCTTAGGAAATAAAATGCCAGAGGAGAGAAATTCCAGGCAAAATGGGGTTTTGTCACATCTGTAAATGAAAGGCAAATGTTGCCTAATTTTTTCCTAAATTGTGTCAGGTCTGAAAAGCTCTATGATTGATTCATGGTAAAATTCTTGACCTTTGACTTTTTTAATATTTTTATATAACAATATATTTTTAATATAACAATCTACTTTTCTTTAGATATTTAATCAATGAGACATCTAGAGAAAGAAACGGTGTAATGGAAAATGGTTCATGTATAGCAAAAGATATTTCATCTTTGAGTTATGTTACACAAGTACAACTCTTTGGAGAAGAAGCATTCAACTTGACTTCCCAACTTGTGAAAGATTTAGGTAAGTCAACTCTTGATTTAATAAAAGACTTATTTCTGACGGATCCTCAGTGCTCTCTGAGCTTGTTTTCTTGTAGTCATTTCATTACTCAAATTAGGAACACATCAATCCTAATATTGAGTGGGACTTGCTGTCAGTTTATATTCCAGTGGCTTACTCTGTCAGTATTGATAGGGGTGATCTTGGATGTTCTTTAGTTGAGTTGTTTACTGTTAGTGTGTTTGGCCGTTCCTTGATTGGGGTATTTTTGTTGGTCTGATATTAATCTTGGAGCTAATCTATGCTCATCTGGATGTTGATTGCTGATGGGGGAAGTATTTTGGTTTTTTAGTTCCCCTTTTGGCTTGTTGTTTGTCTCTTTTGCACAGTATGTTTGTTTATGTTTATTGATGGTTAATTTGTCAGAGTTCCAAGCTTCTAGAAAGAATTTGTCTTTTTTGGATTTGGCTTGGTCTAGGATGGTCACAATTTCCCAGTTAAAATTATGGTTAAGTCAAGAAGCCAAAAAGGGAACAAAAAGACCAAAATACTTCCCCACCAGCAATCAACATCCAGGGTTAACTTCATGTTTAACATCAGACCAACCATCAACAAATAAACAATTTCCCAAACAGAGCTACCAAGCAAGCCAACAGCCCAAAAAGATCCTCCAAGACCACTCCCATAAACACTGACCCAACAATGACAGGGCAAACCACTATATATATATATAAATTGAGAGCAAACCCCACTCCTTAAGCACTGCTGATGTTATCTTTTTTTGGATAATGAAATATCTCCAAGAAAAACAGTCAAGGTCAGAGAACGCTCATTTCAACCCTGACTGCAAATATTCTCCTTACTCATTCATTTAAAATATTTTTGTGTCCCCTCTTCTTAAACAGAACTTTGGTAACTCTCAACAACAAAACCAATAATTATGAAATCAGAAACCATAAGAACAAAACACAACATTGCAAACATCCCCTGGGGATGTTCCAGATATTCTCATTCTATCTCAGCATATGGATAAAAAAGTGTGGACTTGATGTGAAAAGCTAAAATGTTGGGAGAGGTTTTCAAATCATCGTGGGTTTCCATAAGGTAGTAATCCACAGAAAAAAACATGCTTCCAAGGTTCCCCATGATGGCAAGATATAAGGGAAAGTGTGCCTACCCAATCCAATCTGAAAAGATGGATGGATACTCTCAGGGAGAGGCAGTCCCACAAGTAATTTGGTACCACGTCAGTTGGGCTTTAAAGATGATAACTGGACACCTTAAATTGTACCCATGGCCAATGGAGTTCACACAACAGAGATGTATCACTGGTGAATCTAGGAACACCAATATTGCTCACATGGACCTTTTTTGTAAACCCATCAAAAGTTATCTCAGACCATGTATTTATCATATTATTAGGGCCCTCCAAAAATATAAAAGTGTGTGTTCTGAATGAGTGTGTCTGTGTCATGGTACCTCTTAATTCTGAAAATAGATTAGCCTCCTGTAATTCAAGTCTGGAGGCTAAACCATATGGTGAAGGGAGTTAGACTAGATCTAGTCTAACAAAGAGAAGGATTAGGGATGATACAATAGCAATCTTCCAGTACTTGATGGGTTCTCACAGAGAAGAGAAGATTAATTTATTGTCCAAAGTATCTGAGGGCAGGAAAAGAAGTAATGGGTGGTAGATTATTAAAGAGAGATCCAACCTAGATCCAACTAAGGAGAAATTTCCTGACAGTGACAACAATCAGTGGAGTGGCTTGCCTCTGGAAGTTGGGGCAGATCCATGATTGGAGGTTTTCAAGCAGAGACTGGACAGCCATTTGCCCAGAATAGTATAGGATCTCCCTACTTTGGGTGGCGGTAGCACTAGAAGACTTTCCAATCTTTTTATTTTATATTCGAAGTTGTTGTGCTTTAGTTACGTTTGTAATTTAGTGAGTACAGATGTGATGTTCAAAATATGTTAAATATATTTTTTGTCTCCATTAGAAGGATTTGAGTTTGTTGTTACTGCAATTATGAAATGAAGGAGTTGATGCAACAGTTCCTACAAAGGGAGTCTGTGATGCAAGATCTGTCTTTTTGATATGGGCACCATTTGCCCATTCAAATGTGACAGGGTTTATATTGCAACATTACATCCACAGTATTGCCAATTTTTACTTCATTGCATTCTCTAGTTGCTATTGGGATGAAGTATGATCATGGATATCTGTGCACCCAGATGATTTCTAAAACTCTGAGTGGGATTTAACTATGGGTTTGAATGACATTTCTCTATGAATATCTGGAACACTAGGCAGAACAAAGATAAAAATTTTGCAGTCCTTAGTTGATACAGGTTTGTACTAGGTGAATTTAGTCACTTTGTATAGTTCTTAGGAACGATTGCTACATACCTGGGTTTCTTGTCTAGTCGTTTCACCCCAAATCAGGATGTTTTCTGTTGCTGACTATAGTTAAATTGTGCGTTAACCTCTGAAAGTTTACCACTCATTTCTCAATTCTAGTCAAACCTGATCCTCCAGAAATAGTGACAATAGAAGGGATGAAGGAAATGCTAAGAGTTGACTTGAGAAGACACCCCAAAGAACCATCTTATGATCCTTTTATGTGTGAGATTTGGTACCAAGCCACAACAAAAGATATTTCTGTAAGTCAAATTTTAATTGATATAAGTTTTACCAAATCAATTAAAAATAGAGTAAGTACTTCCTTAGATGATGGCATTGAAAATGAGGCTCCCAAATATTTTAATTTATATCACCAAGTGAGAATAAAGATAGTGGTTTCCCGACCAAGCTATATGAGATAAAGAGTATATTTGCATCATTTTGCATCATAGTATCAGACAAAGTAAATCATGATGAATATATTCCTATTTCTCTCTTTTTCCCCTCTGGATGCCTTTGAATGAAGATCAACGCCACTCAAATATTAGATGAGGACACATTCCATATTTAGCATTTGTGATGTGATAATAGACTTATGGTAGTAAGCTAGAAACTAGGAACCACCTTGGAAATTTTAAAGTCCACCTCTCTGTCCAGTGCAGGAATCCACTATTAGGCCATCCCTATGAAATGGCCAGACTCTTTTCAAATACCTTTAGGAATTTTTTCCCTGAAATCTATGTACTTCTTTGTAATTTAAATCTGTTTTTTATTATACTGTTTCTTGGAATAATTCTGTTATGTCACCTACATGATATTGCTTGAAATACTTGAAAACAGCTACCATGTCTGCTTGCAGTTTCCTCTTCCCCAAGGACTATACCCATTGCCTCCAACTGACTCCCATCAATGTTCCCTCTAATTTTTTTCAGTGTGAGCAGAAAAGTATAGTGTTTGAGCGGCATACTTTCATGCCTGAGCACCTGAATTTTTTTAACA